TGTCTCTGGTGAATCCTCTCACCCCCACCCCTCATCTCTGGCCTGTACCCCAGCTCTTGTGTGCATAAATAAATAAATCATGAAAGAAAGAGAGAGGAAGGAAGGAAGGAAGGAAGGAAGGAAGGAAGGAAGGAAGGAAGGAAGGAAGGAAGGAAGGAAGGAAGGAAGGAAGGAAGGAAGGCAGGCGTGGATGGGGGAATAGCTGGTCAGTCAGGCCATCAGAACACACACATTTGTTGATTGAGTTTAACATCTTAAATGTACTCAATTTCTGGTGCCTCCAAAACAATGACAATAGGAACAGCAAAGACCACAGATTGCCAAAAATAGAACAATAATGAAAAAGTTAGAAATATTATGAGAATTACCAAAGTGTGACACATGCTGTCTGGAAAAAGGTGCCAATAGACCTCTTCCACACAGGGTTGTCATCATGATAGAACTTAGAGGGTATTATTTACTTATTGAAATAAGCCAGACAGAAAAGGACAAACACTATGTGATTTTACTCATGGGGTATATAGAGAAATCAAACAAATGAATAAACTAAATAAGACTAAAATAAGCTTTTAAACAATAAGACCCAGTTAGTGGTTATCACAATAGAAGTGTGTACATAAAGCATGGTGAAAGATGGAATTGAACTTCTAGTTGTATATAATGCAGTATATACAGATCTTGACTTATAATAATGCAAAAACTTGAAACATAAGTTATAATGCAGTGTTGCTTCAATCAAAATTTACCTTAAAAATAAAAGTGAAGCTTCTTTACTTTCAAAAATATTTCAAATACAAACCTGTAAATATTGGTTATATTAAATTGAAGATGTTTTCACTTAACATATTTTAACTTTCCAAAGGTTTATGTACTTAGGACTATTCACCATCAGATTTATGTGGCATTTTAATGAACAATAACATGATATACAATAATATGAAAAAATACAAGTCATGTGTGCATGATATGTACTTATATCAATCAAACATAGAACTCAAAATGTAGTCACTGACATTATGTATATATCATGGATAGTAGATCTTTTTGACAAATATTTTAAATATGCAAGCAAAGATAATGGTAAGTTATAGGGAAGAGAGAAAACACTAAGATAAGAAAGCTCAGGACTAATAATAATATAAGACAAAATCTAAATTGATATTAGTAATGAAAGAGATGTTATTATTGCTCAGTATATACTTGTCTTCCAATTTTTGGAAAAAAAAGTGATTTGTGAAGTTATAAGATAAACATTAAAAAGAAATATGAAATATCATGTATCTTTTTTTTAAAATAATAAATTTTATTTTTATATTCCCCATACAATTGCAACCCCCCCCATTCTGACCCAATCCCTCCCCTCCCGCCCCCCACCCCCCAAAAAGTGTCTCTGGTTCATAGTTTTTTGTTGATTTTGATTTTCACTTTCTTATAGTTATTCATTTTCCTGGTCCCTTATTTAAGTTTTCTAGATTCCTGCTATGAGTGAGACCATCCGGTATTTTTCTTTTTCTTTCTGGCTTGAAATATCATGTATCTTTAAAAATAATCTGGGTGCTGTAAATAATCTTTTCATCCTATTCACACTTACTCTGATCAAGTAAAGAATAGCCAGATATTAACAAATAGATTTGCAATACCCAATTTCACCAGAAGATGGTAGAAGAGGGTTAAAACACACCAAAAAAGTCCTAGTTAAGTCTTCTCAGGAGTTCGCTACAAACAGGAGTTAAGTGACATCTCATTTGTAGAATTATCAAAATATTTCATTCAAACCTAAAATTTAGGGAAATATAGCTGGTTAGAAATTTGACTGATTACCTTGCCAAGCAGGAGAAACTGGGGTAAGAGAAAGGAAGGAACAATCCACATTTCATTTTCAAACACTGAGTACCTGCTAAGTACAAATGACCAGGGTAAAGGATTTCAAAGATAAGTAAGGTCACAAAGGTAGTCACAAAGGTAGACGTTGAGGTCACAAAGGTAGTCACAAAGGTAGACGTTGAGAGCCACTGTTTTTCTCGCAATCATCCATCCTGCAGCTTCTCTCACTAATGACCCCTGATTACCATGGAAACAATCCTAACCATGGACGGAGTGTCAAGCTCCTCTCAGAGTATAGGAGTCCTTATTATCTGTCTCCCTCTACCTGGGTTCCTGACCTATCTGTTCTAGTCTCTGCTGCCCAGATAACCTTCCTGGATTCCAAACTCTCTGCCTGTTTAGCTCTGAGCCTTTTTCCTAGCCCTGATCTAGCTGTCCTGAACCCCACTTCATCCTCTCCCTTAACCATTCTCTGTTGGCCCCCCAGTAATCTAATTCTGGTATTGGAATAAAGGATGCCTGCAGGTGGGCTCTTTATGTCTACCCTTGATTAAAAAAACAAAAAACAACATTGTAAGCTAACCTATATAGGCAAACAATCCATGAAAATTATAGATTCAAGTTAAATTGTATTCCACTATTTCTTTGTGCCAATATAGACAATATTTAAGGCACCTGAGGCTGCCTTTAGCATTGTATGTCCTAGAAGTGATCCAACAAAGTCTGAAGGAGTTCTGAGTTTCAAATTTCATATCTGCTATTTACCTGCTGTGTGACCATGAAAAAGTTATTGCCCATCTCAGTCTAAGTTTCCTCATCTGTAAAGCAAAATTAAGAGTAATATTAATTTCATAGGTTTGTTGTTAGAAGTAAATGAGATAATGAGACAAGTGGCAAATACAGAAAATATTCAATCATCAAAAACCAATTTTCATATCTGATTAGTCAGGTCCAAATTTCTCTAAGTTTGCTTATTCAAGCTTCTCCTTTTGCTTTTTTTGTTTTGTTTTTGCTTGTCCACTTGCAATTTAATTGAATTTTCTTTTTATTATAGACTTAAATATATCAATTAAAATTTTTAAACATAGGGTCTCCCTGGTGGCGCAGGTGTTTGAGCGCAGGACTGTCCACAGCCTCTGCAGCCTGGGTTCAATCCCAGCCGGCTGGTGAGATACCCACATAGTGCAGCAGACCTCTCCTGTCTCTTGCTGCTCCCCTCAGCAGTGTATTTCAGTCAGTCTGCCAGTTCTGTTCCCCGCTCTGTCTCTGGTGAATCCTCTCACCCTCCCGTACAGCTGGCCTGTACCCCAGTTCTTGTATAAGTAAATCTTTAAAAAAATTTTTTTAACATAGAGACAAGTATAAAATGAAGGTAAACCTTCCCATTCTACCCCAGACTGTCCATTCTTTTTCACCCAGAGATAACTATCTTTATCAAATTCTTAGAAATCTTTCAAGCTTCTGGATATATTTTTTCACACAAATGAGAGCATACTTTAATACTAATCTATACCTTCATTTAACATAGTAAAATATCATGTAACAAAACATATAAAACTAGTCTTGTTTTCAATGACTTTGTTTAGAAGTAGGAATGGGGCCTCCCCGGTGGCGCAGCGCTTGAGCGCTGGGTTGCGACGCTGCCTGAAGCCTCCGCGGCGCTGGTTCGATCCCTGGCTGCTCCCCGGCCACCAGAGGAGGGTCCCACATGGCGCACAGACCTCTCTTGCCGCCTGCTGCTCCCCTCAGCAGTGTACTTCGGTCCCTCTGCCTGCTCTGCTCCCCGCTCTGGCTCTGGTGAATTCTCTCACCCTCCCGCGCTTCTGACTGTACCCAGTGCTTGTATAAATAAATAATCTTTAAAAAAAAAAGAAGTAGGAATGATGTGATTTCTCATGAGGTTTTGACTTGCATTTCTTTATTAATAATACTGAGAATCTTTCATGTACTTATGGCCATTTGTAGCTCTTTTTTGGAGAAATTTCTAGTCAAGTCCTCAATTTTTTTTTAATTGGGTTATTAGGTTTTTTACCATTGATTCTTATATGTTTTGGAGATTCATCTATTGTCAGATATATGATTTGCAAATATTTTCTCCCATTCTTTAGGTTGCATTTTTATTTTGCTAATTGCTTTCTTTACTGTGCAGATTTTTAGTTTGAGGTAGTCCACATGGTTATTTTTAGTTTTGTTGCCTCTAAGCTTCTTTGTATGCCCCATAATTAATGATTTCCATAACCATTTTCTTACATGAAATTGACACTTGTTGGCCTCCCTGGTGGCGCAGCGGTTGAGCGCTGGGTTGTGAAGCTGCCCGCAGCCTCTGCAGCGCCGGTTCAAACCCCGGCTGCTCCCCGGCCACCAGAGGAGGGTCCCACATGGCACGCAGACCTCTCCTGCCGCCCGCTGCTCCCCTCAGCAGTGTACTTTGGTCCTTCTGCCTGTTCTGTTCCCCGCTCTGGCTCTGGTGAATTCTCTCGCCCTCCCGCGCTTCTGACTGTACCCAGTGCTTACATAAATAAATAAAAAATAAATCTTTAAAAAAAAAAAAGAAATTGACACTTGTTAATACCTTGAATTTACCTAGTGGCTACCATACCTTGGCCTTAAATCCGTAATTTCAGGATAAATATTTTTGTTCCCTGTAGCTAATGTCTGTTATATGTCTCTGATTCATTATTCCTTCTTATACATATCCCTTAATCCTATATTTTCCCTCTTATTTAATCCACTCAATTCTTTTTTTAAAAAAATCTTATTTATTTATGTACACAAGAACTGGGGTAGAGGCCAGAGGTGTGGGGGTGAGAGGATTCACCAGAGACAAAGCGGGTAACAGAACAGGTGGATTGACTGAAATACACTGCTGAGGGGAGCAGTAGGAGAGACAGGAGAGGTCTGCTGTGCCATGTGGGATTCTCACTGGCCGCCCAACAGGGATCAAACCCACACTGCAGAGGCTGCGGACAGCCTCACAGCACTACACTCAACCGCCTGCGCCACCAGGGAGGTCCTAAATCACTCAATTCTTAACAGATTTTCTTCACCTACTATTTCCAATTACATATTTAGCATTTGTTGTACCATTCTTCTTTTACAGCAGCATATGCTGGGAAATAAATATAGGCATAGGGGAAATTATAGACCAAAAAAATGTTAAAAGCTAAGGTCAACAACATTCGGCAATAACCACATGCTCCCACATGCATGACCTGTAGGATGTCTTCATCGCTAAGAAATGGTCAGTGATGATTTAAAGCTACTAATGAAATCAATGGCTCTGGCTTAAATTTAGATCAAGTGGTTTTAAACTTTATCTGTTCACAAAAGTGCAGAGAGTGATGATTCTTCCAACCTGAAGTTTTTCTTGCTCCATGTATTCCTTGATTTGTGATAAGAACGTGATTTAGAAGATTGTGCAGATCCAGGACTCTGAGAGTGGGGAGATGGCCTCTTCATCAGATTCTGGGAAATGACCCTCTGAAGATTCTTCCTGGAAGATCCTGCAGCCATGGTCATCACCCAGGGATGATGCAGGGCCTGCCCAGCTGACATGCGATGACTAGCTTCCAAAATCAGTAGTTTGTCTATAAAGTCCTTCGCCAAATGCGAAATATTTGGCCAAGGCTGAGAAAAATAAAATTAAATAAAATAAAAAACATAAACACACATAATCTTATTGCTAACTATCAATGCATATCAAATCCAAAATACTTTCAAATAAGCAATTTGTATAATATGTCACTAAATATACAATGAACCTAAAAATCCACTTTTAAGAGAGATATAATCTCTTTAGCAAAAGGGAAATAAACACAGAAATTCTCTGTCCGGTGCATGAGGATTCTTTCCACAAATCTGCCCAGCATGCCGCTCTCAGCAATGATAGTTCCCACATCATATTAACATTAGCTGGACAAGGCAAAGGAGCTGTCTTTGGGACCTGTGCCAATATCACAATGTATTTACTACATTCTGGTCATCTTGGAGTCTCTGGAACTCCAAGGATGAGCAGGGTGGAAAGTGAATAGATCAAGAAATTATCAACTTTCATCTTCCTTTAAAAGCGTACACTAGGGCCTCCCCTGGTGGCACAGGCGGTTGAGTGCCGCGCTGTGAAGCTGTCCACAGCCTCTGCAACGCAGGTTCAATCCCAGCCAGCCGGCGAGGGTCCCACATGGTGCGGCAGACCTTTCCTGTCACACCTGCTGCTCCCCTCAGCAGTGTATTTCATCAGTCTACCTGTTCTGTTCCCCACTCTGTCTTTGGTGAATCCTCTCACCCTCCCACACATCTGGCCTGCACCCCGGTTCTTGTATTAAATAAATAAATCTTTAAAAAGAAAGAAAGAAAGCATACACTAGACTTAGGACACCTCTATCTCCACAGACTGAAGAGAGAAATGGAGGAAGAGTAAAGGCACTTCAGAGAAGAGTCCACCTACACTGCATTTCCTTTACTTTTTTTTTTTAAGATTTATTTATTTATCCACACAAGAACCAGGGTACAGGCCAGAGGTGTGGGGGGGTGAGAGGATTCACCTGAGACAAAGTGGGGTATAGAACAGGCAGATTGACTGAAATACACTGCTGAGGAAAGCAGCGGGCAAGTGAGGAGAGGTCTGCTGCGCCATGTGGGTAGCTCCCTGGCTGGGGATCGAACTTGTGATGCAGTGGCTGCAGATAGCTTCATAGGTTGTGTTGTAGCCCCTTGCACCACCAGGGTGGCCCCTGCATTTCTTTTAAATGCACAGGACCCTTGTTCTTCTCAATCAGTTCAACTATAAGTGGAATTCAGCCTAGAGCAGCACCGCAACAGGGTGCAATGCATGCCACCAGCTAGCTGATGTTTCAGGGACTTGCTCTGGAAATATTTACAACTATTATAACTACTTCAAGTACAGTAATTGTAATTCATAGTGACTTTTGTGAGGAAGGAGAAGATTAATATTTTATATTCGAACTTGTTTTCTGCATTACCTACTAACACATGGCACATCTCTTGAAAAAACTATAGTGTTGTATCCCTCATTACCTACAAAAGTGAAATACTGAGAAAATTGTCCGTATATTTGCTTATTTCTCAAACAGCAATTTCTGTTTCTGTATGAATTTTTTGAAAATTGTGATCTCACCAAAAAAAGATAACCAAATCTTTACAACATACTGCTTTTGTTCTTGCATAATGAAGAATCAGATTCCACACGTAGACCCCACTGTCCAATTTCTTAGTCTACTAAGAAATTTGAATCAAAAGAAACCATTAAAGGAATTACTTTTTTTTCCTCCAGTTTATTTTGTTAAATGAAATATGAGAAATATTTGTCTCCAAAATATTGTCAAAATGCATTCAATATTTGAACGCATTTGCCAAATATTCAAATGTAAGGAAAATCAAACGTAAAGCCTGCAGGAGTCTAGACAAAGCACATCAGTGCCTGACACGTGGCACGTCTTCTTCTTCTGGCTAGACATCTATTTGGCCCTGAATCCAGACACATTTATCTGGACTCAAGACTGCTTAAATGAAGGCTAAATTAGATGTCTCCAATGGAACATTATAAGGCATGCAACTGAATCTTTCGGGAAAGAATATAAAATATGTGAAGTGAGATTTATGGAGAGCTCATTAAGATGAACTCAAATGAATATACATTTAAAATGCAATTGCTGAAAATAAGGTAAGTGGTATCCTGGAATAAAAGTTCTTTAGCCAAAGTTCATCATTCAAACATGGATTATAAATTACAGGGTTCCTAAGCCATAAAGAACAACTGGCAAGGACCTAGGAGTCAATTTCATGCTGCATATTAGGGCAGGTACAGAAAGAAAATGTCAGAACTTCTGCTTCATTTGGTCATATTGTGCTACAATTTTGTCTATGTTTTCTTAAGTGAAAAACAAATTAACATACACATGTGTATTTAATATGCATGCTCAATATGTAATTCAGTATTAAGTGGATATGCAAGCTCCTTTTTTTTTTTTTAAGCTAATAGAGTCATGTGACTGAAAACAATTTGAAGACCACTTATTGAATCAGATTGCTGCCCTGGACTAACTGTCCCTTGAAGGCATCAATCACTCCCTTCACCAGTTTTCACATCCACTTTGCATTCAATGAAGTTTTTCTCATCATTTTCCTTCTTTGATTCAGTCATCCCCACTCTTGGCCTTGAAAATTCTGTTTGGCTTTTCTCAGGAGCCTCAAAGTGAAATTGTCAAAAAAGCTTGTGATTGAAGGAAGTGGGTCTAGATTGGGGAAGTTGTACGGCCACACAAAGCTGTAAATCACAGCTGTTTCCTCATCAGGAAAATGGGGATCAGGGCCTCCATGGTGGCGCAGTGGTTAAGACGCAACCTATGAAGCTGTCCCACAGCCTCTGCAGCAGGACCCACATGATGCAGCAGACCTCTCCCGACTCATCCGCTGTTCGCCTCAGCAATGTACTTCGGTCAATCTGACTGTTCTGTTCCCCACTCTGCCTGTGGTGAATCCTCTCATCCCCCCACACCTCTGGCCTGTACCCCAGCTCTTGCATACATAAATACATAAATCTTAAAGAAAAGAAAAGAAAAATGGGGATCATCATATCTCTTCCCAAGTTTGCTATTAGGACCATTAGATCAAGTATGTGAAAAATGGTTTTCAAAGTATAAAATATTATGTAGATTTTTCTCATTCTTGTTCTTGTTACTATTAAATCACAATTTAACTCCTCAGTTTTTTTATTGACACATATATAGACCATATATAGAAAACTCTAAAATGAAATTATTCAAAATCCCTCATCTCTACTGACTATTAATGATAAAATGGGCCCTCAAATAAAATGATCTGTGTCAGAAGCAATGAGCATGTGAAAAAGAAAGGTAGGGCTTTATTTTATCCCAAGGTCACTCAATTAATTTAGTTGCAAGTGAATTGCAATATTGTGGACAATCAGCCCTTTTTTTCTTTCTTCTTTCCTCCTTTCCTCATCTGGATCTTTGCCTATTGTTTTGTCCTCTCCAATTTAGAAATTGGCTAAACTGTAAAAGACAGTAACAAAAGAAAGGTATAAAATTGAAATTTAATACTATCAGTTGTGCTATTTATTAGCTTTGGAGGAGAAAAGGGAATTTATAGGGATGGTATATGATATTCTGTTGATATGTTGACTCTTTTGTCTTTAAACAAAGAAGTTAGGAACAATTGCAGTTTATGCTTTTCAATTTCTTAAAGAACAATTTTCTCTTCATGTGGACCCAAGCACAAGTCTTCAAAAGAGTCAGCGTGTTGATTTATTCTTCAACAGTCTCCTCCAGTTTTCTCTCAGCCTGGTACTGACTCTTCTCCTGCCTTCTTCTTGTTTTGGCAACCAAGCCCCACTTCCTTACCTAATTTTCTATATCAGCTCTCAAATTAAATTTTCACTTCAGGGTTCTCTTATCTAGGGGTCACCAATATCTTTGTATCTTATGGTTTCCCCTCTTTACCCAAGCCCATGAAGATTCCCCACACACCCTCAAGATTCAGACTTTCATTCTTTCCATTTTGTGAATACTGCTTAACAGAGCCAATGCAATAGCTTACGCATAAGATTAATGTAAAAAATGACCAATTCACTAGTTTAAGGAAGGAATAATGTTCCTATGACTATTCAAAGTGTTCATGTTTCTTGGTCCCTTTGAAAAATCCCCACAGAGAATCATTATTAAAAATAATTACTAAAAAGCTAGTCATTACAAACATGCACACAAAACATAGATTCTGTCCTAACAATTTCAGATGCAATCCTTAAATTTTAAGTATTGTAATTAATGTTAAAACATGCTAAATATAGAGCTTATTGGAGTACAAGGTAATTATCAGTGGGTTTAATTTTCTGAAAACTACAAATATCTATTTTTTAGTAGCTGGATAAGCAATTTTTCAAATCCTTGAACTAAGAGCTTTCAAAGTACCAGCTAACCCTCCAAAGACAGTAGTTTTAATGAATATTAGGTTCTTGAAATGAGGGAAGGGATGCTTCCAGTTCTTTACTCTTAAGGAAAACAGAAATACAAAGAGGATTAGGTAGAGCTGAATTTTCTTTTGAGTACCTGTCATGTTTCAAAGCTCTAGAGGTTAAAAAGAACAAGTTTCATTTTCCTCCAAAAGAAAGAACATGCATGAGAAAAATAACAAAAAACTGAATTGGCCTTTGCCTCTAAATCTACTGTTAACCATTCTATATATAGTATACATTTAGAACTAGTTTCTACCTTATAAACCTCATAAACCATGATATAAACAATGTAAACATAATATAACCAAGTATTTCTACATTTGCAAAAACTTGACACTGAGAGTTATTTTTTACTCAACTCTAGGAATTTGTTAATGATATCAAGGTCAAGTACTGCAACATAATCAAGGAAGTAGGGAACTACTTACACTCTAATCACTATCCCTTATGCTAAATAGTCAAAATGAACTTCACCACCACTATTTCTATTCCTAGAAATACTGTGATTGAGTCTAAGAGAAGTTATCTACCTGTTCAATTTAAGGTGGTTAGAGCAGAGATCAAGAAAGTGACAAGCAGAATACAAATTATGTTTTGAAAGATTTCATAAATACTAAAATAGTTTTCCTTAAAATAATTTTTAAAATAAAAATAACATTTAAAAATTTTGAGCACCACATTTCTGGGGAGCATAAGTATAAATCACAGGAATGAGAACCAAATTACAAGATTTATGCATTAATTGAAATGTGGCATAATGTTCATTACTGAAATTCTACTCATGAATAATAAGAAAATTAAAATACCAAATCTTTTGCTCTCCTCTCTTGTTTTCTTATTTAATAACCTGAATGATGAAGATGTGGTAAAGAAAAAATAAAAGCAATTATGGCAAGAAGGAGATAGAAAGAAGTTGAGGTTGTGGCTGGCAAAAACAAGCGTAATCCACTAGATGTGCAACTCCTAAGAGAGTGTATCAATAACATTTTCCTAACAATATAACAGTCACAGGTGAATCTAAGCAGATCATGATCATTTTCTATCAATATCCATGTGGGATTTAAAAAAAAAATGTTTTAATACCAATGTTTATCCTTGTCAGTACACTAACATGTTTATATGACTCATTTTATTATCAATCTATTTCATACCCAAAAAAAATTACTATGATATAGTGGAATATGATCAGTCAAAATGTATAAAAATTTATCATTAGCAATAAAATGCTGGCATTAAAGTCTCACATTTTTCTTACTATTCCAATTAAAAGAAGGAATAAGTAGTTTGTACTGTAAATTACATTTATATGCCTATTTATACTTATGCAACTAATACTTAAGCAAGATTCAAGCTTATAGTTGCTATTTCCCATATTAATAGTAAGAATAAGAAACAGTGAGCACATATATAGCTCTGACTATGCATGTACTAATATGTAAAACTATCCCAAGCACTTTACATTTCTTAGTTTATTGAATCTTCACCACTCTGTTAAGTAGACACACAACGACCACCTTGATAGGCAAACACTATTATTATTAACACTTTACAGATGAAGAAACCGAGATACAGAGAAAATTTAAAAACACGTTGAAAGTCACAGTTAGTAAAATGGCAGAGGTGGGAGTAGAAGAAGATGAGTATTTTTCAGATTGTGCTCTTAACCACTGCTCTTAACCATACTGCTTGACAAGATATCTATAAAAATACACTTTCACATGCACCTACACAGTCTAAAATTCTTTTTTTATTAGTTAATATTCCCTTATATGTGTTTTTGCATATTTTGTTGAGTCTGCTTGGAATGTGAAATTTCCCTCCAGAAACTCCCCACCTTCCTGCAAGACACAGCAGTGATAGGCTTTCTTCCCTTGCCAGAAACTTTGAGACTCTATTCCCATACATAGTAAAGCACTCGTATTTGAAGAGATGCATATAGTAATACTTGGTCTTTTAAACAAGACCACAAACATGAAATGAGTTTCCTATTTTGTCAGATTTCCCATACAAAAGCATTGGCAACTTTCCTTCCTTACCCAAAACAACAAAAAGTTAACACATTCATGAACACTGGGAGTTCAGTTTAAATAGTAGATAAATATTTTACACAAGCTGTGAGGTTAAACTTTTCACTGAGGAAAACCTACACTACAAAAAGGACTTGAATTATCTAGATTTAAAGGGGAAAATCTCTCACCAAATACCCAAGCACCATGCTGAGCTTCTAAATACACATTGGTCTACTTTAGTTGGCTCAGGATTTGCACATTGATTGAAGAAAAAAAAAATGCAAAATCACTTGATTATCAATGTCATATGATAAACACAGACAGTAATCAAAGCCTTTGTTCTCTTGAAACCAATGGCTCTCAGGCAGAGGTGATTTTGTCTCAAAGGGGACATTTGACAATGCCTGGTGATATTTCTGGATGTCGCAACTGGAGGACAGTGTATGTTTAGTACATCCACTAGATATCAGTATCTACCAGCAGTGTATCTAGTGGCATCTGGGGGTAGAGACCAGCGGAAGTGCTAAACAATGTACAGAACAACCCCATCCCCATCTCCCTCCCCTACCCCAATAAACAATCATCTATTCCTAAATGTCAATGGTACAGAAGTTGATAACCAACTCAGTAGGAATAAAAAGATCTCTTACCTCTCCTGTATAATTATATTTGCCTTTCAGAATCTTCCTGTAAAGTCTTGTATGGTTTTCATCATCAAAAGGAAGGAATCCACTAAGTAAAACATAGGTGATCACACCAAGAGCCCACATGTCCACCGCACTTGTATAAGGTTTCCTTAACAAAATCTCAGGGGCTATGTAATCTGGGGTTCCACAAAGTGTCCTCATTGTCCAGTCACCACTTTTGTTCCCGGAGTGGGCCAAAGCAAAATCTGTGATTAAAATTTTTGACTCTGCACCTGGATGATAATATAAGAGATTTTCAGGCTTTAGGTCCCTGTGAGTTATCCGTAATGCATGCAAATAACTAACGCCATCAACTACCATCTGGAGGATCCTGACAGCATCCTGTTCTGTAAAGGAGCCCTGGGTAATGAGTCGATCAAAGAGCTCTCCTCCTGTAGCCAACTCCATCACCACGTAAACTCTGTCCTGGGCCTCAAAGATCTCCATGAGCTGGACAATATAGCGATGGTTAACCCGCCTCAGGACAGTGAGCTCAGATTCGCAGGCTTCTCTGCCTTCTCTTACCCTGGTTTCCATCACTTTTATTGCAAAAGGTTTCTTGGTGCTCTTCTGCTCCACTCTGACAACTTTGCTGAAACTGCCTGTCCCAACAAGAGCCTTGATGTCATATCTGTTATTGAGAAAAACCAAATCTGTTATGCCGTGTGTGATGAGTCTCAAAATGATCAAAATTGACTTTTTATCTTTATATTCCCTATTCAACTTCCTTGTTTATTATTGTTTAATTGTGCTCATTAATTTTGAAACCCACCCCAAGTGCTCTTTTGAAATGGAGCAAGTAAGTAAAAATAGTTAATAGAAAGACAAACAATAACTACCACTTTTTATGTGCCAGGAATATATTCTTTTTTAACTCTTATCCTTATCTCTGCTGGATAATGTACCTCTGTCCCCTATTCTCAGATGAGGAAATTAAGAGTTAAAAAATGTTAAGTGATTTCCCAAAACTACATAGATTGTAGTTGAAATGATGGGATTTAAATTCAGTCCCTTCATATGAGTTTCACCAAAATTTCTGCGAGACATTTTAGGACCTCTTACTGCCCATTTTTTCCCTCCCTCCAGCCTTTCTATTTGTCATTCTGCAACAATACCTGCAAATCATTGGACAGGATTAAGAAGCTTAGCCCTTTAAAACTTTTTAAAAGAGGGTGGAAACCATATCAGGAGATAGGCTATAAAAAGTAGTCTTCTCCAGATTACTTGCCTGTGAGCTCTGAGTCCCAGGTACAACTCAGTTCTTTCTCATCTACCTCAGCTCCTTAATCCACGGTCTTTGAAAAAGTAAACATACCCTTGCTTGTAAAAGGACAGATTTCAAAAATCTAGCGAGAGTGGTGTTAAGACCACTCTGCCGCCAGTAATTTTCCATAGTCCCCCCACCTGACCTTTACCCTCCTGCAGTTGCCGTTTCTATGGCAGCAAGCAGTGAGTTAACATGGCATGTATGCAGCTAATGTGAAAGTAACTATCTCTCAGAAAGGCCAGAATGTCTGCTAGGATTTCAAAGAATAAGGATCTTAAATTCGAATTATCTGTATAAATGTCTATGTACGTTTAAGAAACCTATGAAATTTAACCCACTGCCCTTATTTTTGAATGTCGAAAAAGTGCTAGAATTGTGATTTTACAGTTGGAAAGAATATTAGAGAATGATTTAATCCAACCCCTCATTTCACAAAGAAAGAAATTTGAAGATCAGGTTAACTGATTGGTTAAATTGTAGAAGTGAGGATTAGAATCCAGATCTCCTTACTTGCATTATAATTTGGTATTCTTCTCCTTTATTAAAATTCCTCCCAAGTTAGAATGTCAGACAAGAGGATATACTTAGGAAGTACCAAAGTAAAAGGTAACTCTTGGTTACATTCTCAATGCCAAAGATTTATTTATTTATTTAAGATTTATTTTCTTTTTTATGCATACAAGAACTGGGATACAGGCCACAGGTGTGGGAGGTGAAGAACTCACAGAGACAGAGTGGGGAACAGAACTGGCAGATTGACTGAAATACATTGCTGAGGGGAGCAGCAGGAGAGACTGGCGAGGTCTGCTGCACCATGTGGGTCACCTTCCTGGAACTTGTGCTGGAGTGGCAGTGGATAGCTTCATAGTGCTGACACTTAACCCCTTGTGCCACCAGGGAGGCCCAATACCAAAGATTTAAATGCAAATATCAATCAGAGCTAAAGCCTTATTTCTTTTGGTGAGATTTATTCTTCCTGGAATTTTCTTTTGGCCTAATTATTTGCTCCTTATATTCCTGTGCTTACTGAATAAGTTGGAATTTGACTATACCAGCTTACAGAAAACAGCTTTGTTCTACACAGTGCATTTAATTTTCTGGCCAATTACCTTATCAAAACAGATAGCAATTTAGTAATCTTAAATAGATTTTGTCCCCTCCTCCCTTTCCAGCTCTGCTGTTTGTTCGCATGCACTCCTAGTGTGATTTTTAAGATAATCACAGGCATTCAAATTCTATTGCTGTGCAGATCAACCAAGTTTTTAGCATGACCTCTAATGTGGATGAAAGGACTTCGCAAATACTAATTTATTTCTGTGCTCTCAAAACTGCAGGCAAATCCATTTCTCATGGAATTAATCATCAGTATCAGACAAATTATCAAAGTTCTGAAGAATTACATTCTTGCTCAAATAAAAAGAGCTTACTCAATACTGTTTAGGGAAATGCTAGTACTTTGGCATTGAAGGAAACAGTAGGCTTTAAGCCAAGATGTAGAATAGTGTAAATAAATGGCTTCAAGTTGAATAAGCAATGCCCCATAATGCAGCAGGGTTGCTTATAAGCCCTTCATAGCCATGGCTTGTGACCATTTTTATGATTTGATTAGCTATACCTGTGCAGTGCCTGGGAAAGAGAGACAAATAAATATTGAAAGAAAAAAATAATTCACTGAATAATAATATTTCCAAATTACCAAATTATCATTTTGAAAACATTAGGATCAAATCAAACATTCATTCCAATTCTTCCACTTCTCCCCTCCACCTCTGTCCCCTACAGAGCAGCCTCAAAGTCAACTTTGCATCATCGAGGTGGTATGATTTTTACATCATCCCAGATATTATGCAAATTTTAATTGCTGCTTTTATATAAGCTGCTACAAACTGGGAATTTTTTGAATATGTGTAAAATAACTGAAACATGGAGTCAATAATTATAACATCACAAGTAATTGTGATGAACTCCCAAGAAGAAAGTTAGATTTAAATATAGTTTGATTCTGTCATCTCTATTATATGAGAGTAGAATTATAAATGAAATCACAATATAAAAAAAAAAGACAACTGTGTTTTGGATCCAATCATACCATTATCTTACAAAGGTCAATGTTCTGGAGCTCAGCTCTTCATCAGTTAAGAGTTTTGAATTTGTCTCTAAACACTTTACAATGTTGAGTTTCTCTGCTCCTATGACCCCTTCATGCATCAAGGGACTGTGACCACTAGGGAGGTAGAGGTTATGAGAGTGGATAAAGCCTTGACCAGAGCAGCTCATTTGCAGGCTACTGATGACCAGAGATGATGTTTAACCTATTCAGCTTGGACAAGCTCTCCTACCCACTCAGATTCACATACAGTTGAATCAGCCAGCTTTGCTCTTCTCTAAGCTTAGCAATTACTAGACTGATCAACAAGTACTAGAAGTTAGAAGGAGACCAGGATATGGCTCTGTGATGAAATGAGCATTCAATTCTAGGACGAGAAATGTCCGTGAGAAGACAGTCAACCCACCCACCATTATGTCCCACAAACATAGCAGAATTTGAGGAGATTCATGATTTCCTTCCTCTGAGGAAACTTTTTCTCAGGCCAATCACTCAGCCACTCTTCATGATTTCCTACACAGAGTCATTTAAATCTTTCATGTGCTTCATGAGGACAATAGTATTAAGTATTGTATGAATATCTAAATGAGCACTTGGCATAATTCACATGTAATTATCTTCACAACATTCATAAGGGGTAGGTATTATTCCCATTTTACAAAGACTGAAACTGAGGAAGGAAAAAGGTTAAGGGTCGTTGTCACAGTCACATAGTGGAAGAAACAGGAGTGGATCTGAAGTCTGGCTAATTGGAAGGACTGTTTCTATTTGACTATGATCTCATTTTCTAGAATTTAGTAGATCCTTCACAAACCAGGCCTATATGTAGACCCTGTCAGGGGCTGGGAGGCCTTTCCCCTTCCCCAGCTCTGAGTATAGTGATCCCCTCCCTTTCCTTGCTGCTACAGGGTTTGTGATTGTGATTAAGCCTCTTGAGTTTGCTCATCGTTAATTATAAAATTTAGCTTCCCACCATGCCAGAGCATGGAGATAGGAACCCGACGCCTTCATTCCAAAAAGATGGTACCAAAAAGATGGTGTCCAAGTACTTGAGAAAGACATTACCTGGTGGTAGATGTATCTTAAAGTGGTAAAGAAAATTTAGAGGAACAGGGGCCTGTAATCAGAAATAAGCCTGTCTTGGATTTACTTGAGGTGAGAGGAATTTTAAGGTTTTCTCCATCAGTGGCTAATCTTACTCAACCTAGCCACCCCTTTTCCTCCCTCCAGCCCTCCATCCATGCCAACTCTCAGTTGGCACTTCACACAAAGCTTTACCTGGCAAGAACCCTGGGGTCGAACTTGGCTCTGAAGCGGGCCACCTGCATCCTCTGAGCCGCCTCGGCCAGGGCCTCGGGCGGGGGGCCTCCCGGGTTGGATTGACTTTGACCTTCCCGCTTGACCCAGGCCAAAGTGGGTGGTCCCGGGGCCACCTTCTGGCTAGCGCCACAACCCATCACTCCAGCTTTAAAGAGGGGCCTGGGGCGGGTGTCCTTTTATCCCCAAAACAGCTTAGAGTGGGCGGGGACTGAGCTACCCACCCGCAGGCAGACTCTGAAAGAAACCCCACTGTGAGGTCTTTGTTAGGAAGATAAGTCTGGGGAGGCGAGCTCACTTCTCAGGCTGCCTTTATCTGCACTGAGCACCTAGGGGTACCCAGTGTTTGACTTGGTAAAAGCAAATTGGAGGAGAGATCAGGAGCCTGAACTTAATTCTCTGGGCCTCTGTTTTCTCATCTACAAATTGAGAACATGAACATATAAATTTATATGAGTCTATGAAGGATATTGTATGGGCTTTATGTCTTACTTTTCTTAAGATTTATTTATTTATGCATACAAGACTGGGCTTGGGGGGAAGAGGGGGAGAGACCAGAGACAGAATGGGTAACAGAACTGACAGATTGACTGAAAGACACTGCTCAGGGGAGCAGCGGGTGACAGAAGAGGTCTGCTGCGTTCTGTAGGTCAGCTCCCTGGCAGGCAGGATGGAACGTGTGCTCTGCAGTGGCTGCAGATAGCTTCATAGTGCTGAGACTTAACCCCTTGTGCCACCAGAGAGGCCTAAGGCCAGTTTTAATGAACTTCTAATTATATAATCTGCTGTAACATTCATAATAATGTATAATACATCACTCCAACCATTCAGTGTCAAGTTCCATCGTAGAAAATGCTTTTTAAAAGCATAATTAGAAAGCACATTTAGTTAAATTCTAGAAAGTGTTCTGGGCAATAGGAATTTTGAATCCCTAGAAACTTGCTAGAATAACACTCTGGATGAAATTTCACAAATTGATTTAAGTAACTTGATTTGTAAAAGGTATATTCCACAAGTTATAATCAAATCCCTAAAGAATATTTCACAGAAGGATTTAAGGAATTATGCCAAATCAAAAACTCATTAAAGACTGAGCTATCATTTAGGAAGAGCTCATTTCTCTCTTACCTCTTACATGAACATTTGTGGAAATATAAAAAAATTATAAACATCTTATATTCTATTGTTAATCTCTAGTATACTTTACTAAACTAAATGGAGCAAAACAAGAAATTAAGGGTATCACAGGAGTGATATACTTGGCTCCCTACACATTTTTTCCTTCCTGTATCTTAAAAGTAAAAAGATATACCCAAAAGACATTTCTAACAAATAACATGAAGAATTTGCTTCATTCAAAATTATTTCCTCTTGGAACAGCTGCGATCTTATTTTTCAGTTTGCCTTAGCTTTAGAGGCCCCCTACTAGGATTAATCTTCTCTAAAGGGATCTCACAGCCTGAGACTTCAGTTTGAAGGTGTTCATCTTATCGACTTCCTTTTTCCCCAGGTGTAGGATTTGTGTTTGTAATGACAACTAGCATGGGGCTCTTTTAAGTCAATTTCACATACACAATGATGCATGGAACCAGTAGTACAAAGCTACTCTCTGAGCTTTCTTCCCATAAACAAATAATGTCTCTAAGTAGGATGCCTTTGTGTGAAACTCAAGATGGCAGAAGCTTTCCTGCTATACTTGGCAGACTATTTCTCAGTATTACAGCACCTTACAAAAAATAATGACAATTCAGCAAGTGATAAAGGATTTTTCAATTATTGAAAATATTTTTTCTTCATTAATTTGGTGAATTATCATGTTAACTTGCGTATTTCTACATTTATTACTAAGGACAGTATTTTGCTTTTGTAAAAGAAAAAGTTTACAAAGTGGTTATCTTATAAAAAAGGAAGATAAATATTAGAACATAATAATACATTGTACCTATTCTCTGTTGTCATTTATAGTAGATGATCAAAGAAGCCAACAGCCATCAGGGTGAATGAAGTTTCCTGTCTTAGTGCATAAATTAAAGATAAAGTGAGAGACTGTTTCACTATATTTTCACTGATTTGCCTAAAGCAATTCTGTCTCTTCAAGGTGGCAATTTGCATATAATGTCTTAAAACATGATAGTTAGGAATATGTTTAGTAACATGAGAAAATATTTATAATAGGTTGCTGGATGGGGGGAAAAAACCTGTATGGCATGATCTAATTTTAAACTCACTAATGAAGTAAGTTCTTGTGGTGAGGAAAGAAACCCTGACAATAGACCAAAGAACAAAGGCCAGCTGACAAATGTATGAGTGAATTTAGGGACAGGTTATGCAAATCCCTGCTGAGCCTGGAGATGACACTGCCCCCAGCTTACACCTTGATCATAACCTCCTGAGAGCTTGATTTTGAAAATGGACTATTCAGAGTTAAGTCCTTGTAACATCACTTAACAGCTCTATGACTTAGGAGAGTTACTTAATCTCATGGTCCCCCCAGTTTTCATATCTAAGAAATTGAAATAATAATGTCTTAGTGTTCTGAATAACTTCATTCATGTAAAGCACTATGAACAGTACAAGTAACATCAACAATGTTCAATGACTATAATTATTGTTATAATTAGTGTAGTACAATATAACTATAATATTATATCAACATATAATAGTTTTAACATATAATTATGGGACCTTACATGCGAGGTTCCATGTTATGTGTAATTCAGTATCCTGCCATCTAGTGGTGGTAATAGAGAAGTACAGTTTTTTCCTCCAAAAGAATAACTTCTGTTCAGAACATAGCTCTTCAGGTTAAAATAACATAACTAAATGTCATTAAAGAGTAGTATTAGTTATTTATTGTTGCATAACAAATTTCCCCACCAGATTTATCAATTTTCAGAAAACAAACATTTATTTTCTCACAATTTCTTAAGATCAAGGTTCTACAAGGCCGGGTGCATGTGGTTCAAGGTCTCAGGAGGTTGCAAGCACACTTCTGATGAGGCTGCAGTGCTCTCAAGGCTCGACTTAGCCTGAATTCCCTTCCAATTTCATACCTCTGACTATTAGCAGACTTATTAATCTGTAAAGGTGTGGCTATCTCAAGGTGGGGATTTTGGGGGGCTCATCTTGAAGACTGGTTTTCACAGGAGTAGAACTAACACTAAAGAGTGAAATTTCATTATAAAGAGGAATTTTCAAGGTCAAAATAGATAGAAATGGACATCAAACTCAGGAAGCTGAAGGTTCTTTCTCTTGTAGGAGTTGCGCAGAAAGAATGGAACTGCTTGGCCATGCAGGGGAGAAGAGTATTCAAATAGGAGGGTGACTGGACATGGTCAAGGTTCAGTGCTCTTGCAGTTCTGGATTTCTATGAATTTTTTTCACATGAGAGCAATCATTAACAGAGAGGAAGTCTCTTGAGGATTCAGACTTTCAGATCTAGCCAAGAGTTGAATACAAAGAAAGGTCTCTACAAACTCTTATAGATTCAGTCTGTAGCTAATATGGCATTAAAGCTATCACAAAATTAAATCAATAAGAATTTATGTGTCTATCCACATATTTATGCATTTTAAAATATATTTCTATCTATACTTTTCAAATTAAATCATTTTACCTTACTACAATAAATCCTTTGTATTTTCCTTTATATTCATTTCTATGGCATTTCTCTATGGAAATCCCCTCTATTTTATATACTTTAAAAGTCTAACATAACTACTAGCCCATGTGATTTCAGGGAAAATATCTGGCAAGGAAAATGTGCAGTTGCTAGGAGGTAGAAAAATAACTTAAAAAAAAAATCAAACCATCCAAGGTAATTTAAGAGGGGAATGAAACTACAAAGAAAATAAATGAATACCTGTGGTGTCTCAGTAGAGTAGGAAGTTTTTCAACTTTCCATTATTGCAGTCTATTCTAGATCCCAGTTTCATGTCTTCCTACATGGAGAAAAAAAAACACATTTCTACTCCTATACTTCAAGTTCTATTACTGCAACCTCCAATCAAAATACAGTTCTGAGGTAAGAAGCTACCAAGGAGGTATTGTGTTATTCCAAGTCCTCCAAGAAACAAATACTAAGATAGGACAAAATGTGCAAGGATTTTTTCAAGTGAAATGCCCATATTAAACATCATGGAGTCCGAAAAGATTAGAGAGTTATTGGAGGCAGCCAAGTTGAATCATCCCACATGCCCTGCTGAACTTTATTAGGGATCTGGTCATCTGTGAAAGGAGTCCCTGGTCTCTGATGAAAAGCCTGCCTTAGAACTCCCCCACAGTCAGACTTTCACATGAGGAGTGTGGCCCCTGACAAAATGTAGAGATGGATCAAAGAGCAGTGACTGGTGTCATGAGTCAGTCAAACTCCCTACCATCTGTCATCTGAAGGTGCAATTCTCATGGCCACCACACATATCAAGTGTCGATATAATTATTATGAAAAGAATGCAGTCTTGGACTAGTGAGAAAAGCTATTTTTCAATGAACTTTTAACAAAAGTCAGAGCTTTTTTTTTTTTTAAGATGTATTTATTTATGCATACAAGAACTGGGGTACAGGACAGAGGTGCAGGGGGTGATAGGATTCACCAGAGACAGAGTAGGGAGCAGAACAGGTGGACTGACTGAAATACACTGCTGAGGGCAGCAGCGGGTGAGTCAAGAGAGGTCTGCTGCACCATGTGGGTCACCTCCCTGGCCAGGGATAGAACTCACTGCAGTGGCTGCAGATAGCTCCCTTGTGCCACCAGGGAGGCCCTAAAAATCAGAGCTTTATTTAAAACATTTTGCATAGTTTTCATAAGATTTCAAAAAGCAGTGGCTTAGAAATTGATTTCTAACTTAAGTAAATCAGCACTTGTTAACTATTTATGGAAACATGTCCTGGATTTCCCTGCTGCCATGTTTAAGCCAAACAAGACTCTAAAAAAGTTAACAGGGAAAAGCATCCTGGTTCTTGATTGACTTGTGGTTTCCAGGAATTTCCACAACATGTGGAAGATATTTCTTATGTATCTATAATCCCCACACAAAGTCTTCTCTCCAGGGAAATAGCTATCTCTTGATAGAACAACATCAATTGCATCATTGACAATAATTTTCTCTCTGACTGTCAGTCTGTGACCAGTTTCCTCTCTCT